ATATAACCCCCAATATACTATAGTGGTTTCCATTTTCTTCAGTTCCCCAGCGTACCGTGGCAAGCGCGCCAACCCTTGCAGCTGAAGTGGCAAACTCCGCTGCCAAGACATCCAGCCGCTCGCGTATTGACGGCAGCATGACGCGCAGGCGAGAGGGCAGGTCCAACGGAGGCCGGTTCTGAACACATATTTCTCTTGATACTCCGGCATGTTCCGCATGGAGAAATTCCGAGCACATGTTTTCTTTCCCACTATTCTATATTATTGCTATTATCATTATATAACCCCCAATATACTATAGTAGTTTCCATTTTCTTTTCCATTACCCCAATATAACCCCCAATATACTGTAGTATTATTGCTACCATTATCATGGGCAGCCTACTGATTGCCTTTTTGAGCTCACGGCTGCCAGCATATGCCACAGATGCTCGCGGAGCTCAGCCCGGCTGAAGGAGCTGTTTTATACGAGGGTTCCTGTTAAGGAACTTAGCTTATCGGGATAATATAGGGAAATATAGGGATAATGGAAAATACAATGGAACCTATCATTTGGGGTTTAGGGTGTAGGGTTTGGGGTTTAAGTTGCAACATTGGGGAGACCATATTCATTACTATGTATACCCATTATGGTAAATGTCAACTCCTTAACAGCAATCCAATACATGGTCCGCCAGCGCGAACACCGTGACAGCATAGGGTACGGATTCATATTTGAAGGATTTTGGGCCCAATGAGCATATTATTCAGAGTTGTTCGGGAATTTTGATGCTTAGCGATTGAATCAACAGAGATAGTCACCTAGAATCCTCTATACAAGCCGCCCCCTACACCCTAACCCTACCCCCCCCTTTAAGGAGCTTAAACTACGTAACAGCTCTCCCAGGCTTCTCCATGCTTCCATGGCAACATATGAGCCATTGTCTAAACTCCTAGTATCCCCCTTAATAACCCCCAGAATAGTCCCCTATATAATTCCCTATATAACCCCCTTTAAGGTGGTTAAACTATAGCTCATATCAGGATCCTAGAAGACTGAGCTCCATGAGGAGCACCCACAGCTGGATGAAATCGCTCGAGTTCCAGAAAGACTCTCCTAAACCCCTGGGAGGATCAAGAAAGTAGAGCCCCCTTCCATGATTCCTTGACATTACTCAATAACAAGTATAAAGTACCATGCTGGGGGTTCTAGACTAAAATAAGCCCTAATTAAACCTCAGACCCTATTGTCTAAATTCCTAGTATCCCCCTTTCTCGCCTATGTAACCCCCTTAAGGAGTTTAGACTACAACTCGTAAATACCGCGAAGAGCCCCTTTCCAGGGGCCCCGATTTGGCAGCGCATTTTTCTGGATCCTCCCAGGGGTTTAGGCTGGAATGGTGCGCAAAAACAGATTACCTGAGCCGTATGCAATGTAATGGCCATTGTGGCTATTTCCAAAGGTTTCGGGCCATTAGTTTTACCTACATTTAGGCTCTAGGTAATTGTAGATTCATAAAAGTTGTGTAGCAGGTCATTTCTCTGCCGGACCTTTTGCTCAACAGCGCTGAAACTCACAGGATCCGGCCCCACCAGCACCTGCAAAGCAGGGTGCAGAAGAGGGTTTGGGACCTAGGGTTCAGGGCAAAGCTTCATGCCAAAGCTCACGCCTCTTTCCACTTCCGCAGCCTGCCATGTGCCTGCCGACCGTGAAGGCGTACGCATGCGGCGTTGCCTTAACTTGGATGTAACATACTTTTGGGGGGTTGCTGGTAAGGAAATGCAACTAAGCTATCATGATTTGGGTTAGACCTAGCCTCTACCTACAATTTGTTTATAGGATGTTGAAGGGGAAAGACACCAAGGGAGCCCAGGGGAAAAACACCAGTTAGCAAAGGGGAAGAACACCAGTTAGCCCAGGGAAAAGCCACGGGGAAAAACACCAGTTAGCTAGCCAAGGGGAATAATCTAGTTCGCCAAGGGGAAAAACACCAGTTAGCCAAGGAGGAAAAATCTAGTTAGCCAAGGCGCAAAACACCAGTTTTCCGGGACCCATAACAGGTGTTTTTCAGGACCACAACAAATGTTTCTCGGGACCAATGACTGCGGTTTTCTGGCACCATAACAAGTGTTTTGTGGGACCACAACAGGTCTGTTCAGCGACCATAACAGGTGTTTCTCGGGGGCAGAACACATGTTTCTCGGGACCATAGCAGGTGTTTTTCGGGACAGGCTGGAGAGGGCGCCTTTTGGGGGTTCCGTCCTGGCCCTCTTGCATGGTAAGCACCTGAACCAGAGGTCGTTCACTGGGTCGCCGGCCTCGGCACAAGCCACAAGCTTTTGACGGGGAACTCAGCAGCTCAACGAAACAGGGGCACGGTATTGGAAGTCTGTGCACATGGGTCTGCAGCGTACTCTCAAGCCGTGGGAGTTTACGCCAGGCAAACCCATCCGGAGTCTTTGTTCCAACTCCGCATACAGCTTATGGAATGGGAGAAAACTGTCAGCATGTACACAACCTGCGGAAGGCAGACCTCTGAGGAGATGTGACTACAAAGGCCGGAGTTCTCTCAGTCACAAAGACCAAAAAGGACAGCAGGACTCAACGGAGGGGCTGCAAAGCAGCAAGCGGGAGCCGGAGTTGACAGGATCACGAACTCCAACAAGGATCAACTGGACGGACTCAAACCCTAGGAGTTCCTTCCAGGGCAGATGAAGGCACGCCTCCAACGGTGATGGCTTGCACGCAGCACGCACTAACTTTCGTCCATTTGGTGCCTTGGCAACACGTTGCCACATCGGCTTCTGCTTCTTCCCTGTTTTTTCAGCAGCGTCCAAGGGCTCAAGATAGGTGCGGGCTGGTTTCATTGCAAATAGCGTGTGCAGCAGTCCCCATGCAGGGTCTTTCAAACAGGGTGACGCAACTATGCAACAACTTGGGACCCCAAAAAAAACAAAAGCGAGGTCCTGACGTGAACATGGCGCGGCCTTTCTTTGCATAGAGGATTGGTGTCAGCGATGCAAGTCCTCAATGTCTTAAAGTTGCCCTTTTGCCGTCTGTCAGTCTGACTTAAACCTAGACCCACTCCAGAGGTCTTGACGGCCCCCGATGCAAGATGCCCGTCATACATAGCGCAAGTGCTGGGTATTGCTTGTTTTGCAATCGGCAGGAATGCTCCCAAGAGGGACTACCACTCGAAAAATGTTGAAAGTCTGTGAGCACGGCTGACAACTGGCAACAGCCAGCTTCTAAGCTGTGGTACCCATTCTAGGTAGAGTATACTACATGCTGAAGGCAACTCAATCCAGTGAAGGCGTCGGCTTTGAGATGCTTTGAGCACAGAATATCTCTTGCGGGACGCAGATGCATCGTAAGGTTGCAGAGTGTCAGATGAAAGCTAGCCTGTTTGGGCTCAAGTCTGTTTGTGCTGCCGAAAGGATTGCTGCAGACATCGCAAGGCTTTGAACCTTTTTTCTCTGCATGGCGCAGCTTGGCTTCAGGCGGATCAGCTATGCCTCACGTAGACAGCGGTGTTCGAGAAGAGAACTTTTAGATTGAGTTCCGCGAGTGGCTTGAGCTTCTCCAGCCAAGTCTTAACCGTTCCATCCTCCAAGTTCTTCAACTCGAAGCAAGAAATCTGCTCCTGGTCCCCCTTCCATTGGAAGGCGACCGGTGCATTGCGGCTAGCGCAATGTGCAATATCTGTCACATTCTTAATTTCGGCAGAAAAGCGGGCGAACTTGTTGGACTTGTCGACCCGTACTTTCCAGCCGTGGGCTCTCTCGCAGTTCTTCATGTAATGCCCCTTCGTATCCTGCGTGCAGGTAGTGATCTCCTCATGTATTTTCATGCAGTCCTTCTCATGCTCGGGGCCACGTGCTTGAAACAGTGACGTTGGAGTTGGCACGACTTTCCAGTAGCCCAGCTCCTGGCCCTCCTGCATGGTGAGGGGCTGCACTCGCAGCCACAAGTCGTTCACTGGGTCACCCGCCTCTGCCCAGCCCACCTTCCCAAGCTCCGACTTGGCGCCGGCCTTAGTCCACTCAAGCCGCTGGTCCTCTCCCACGAAGTCAGCAAGACCCATGTCCGGAGGAAGGAGGTCGCGCTTCTGCACTTGCGCCCGCAGCTTTGGAGGTAAGGTGCTCTGGCACATGGCTTCGCGCTCTGACCCGATGAGGATGTGCTGCTCAGCGCAGCACTCCTTGGTCCAGTTAACACGGTCTTGCTTCGGCATGAAGGGCCAGAGCGTGCCTCAGCTGGCAGGTGATGCTCCAACTTTCAGAGGCCACAAGGTGCCTCAGCTATCAAGTGCCGCAACTTTCAGTGAACTTGGCCCCAACCGCAAGGCCGTCTACTGGCACCCGTTAAGTTAGCTAGCCCTGAGGCCGATTAGAATCTAGCAGCCAATACTGGCCAGTAAAGAACAGCTGCCGTGGTTTGGAGCGAGAGCAAGGTTTCCAGTCGTGTCATGTGTCTTGAAAATCCTAGTCTTGGGGCAGGTGTCTACATGTAAGCTAGCATGGGGCTCAGCCCGCTACCTCCACGCAACTCACTATAACTCATTCTAAGGACATTTCGTGCGAGCAAGGCACACACGTGCTCGTTCCAGCCGCATGTCTTTGCACAGCAACCGAGCAAGTGCGACTCCACCTCTTGCACGACAAACATAGAGCATGAGTCTGGATACGTCGAAAACACTCCGGTCCCTCGGTGCGCGATCCGGCGGGACTTTTTGCGGATCTTCTCGACCAGTTCCTCACACTCCTCCTGGCAGACGTGCTGGAACGAGTGCGCGGCCGCTTCGCCTAGCATCTCCCGAAGCTTCACCTGGTCTGTCAGCTTGGCCTCACAAAGGGACAGGTTTGCTTTCTTGGCGACTTCCCTCTGCACGCCTGCGGTTGCTGCATCGACTGTAGGTCCTGTCCAATCCTCCACTGGCGGAGGGTACTCCTTGCTGGCAGCTTCAAAGAGTTGTGAACAAAACTCTACCGCCGCGACTCCGAACGAGTTTCCATGGATCGTTCCGTTGTTTATGATACGTCGATTGACTCCGTCTCCCACACAGCGGCATTCGCGGCTCCAAATCTTGGACTGTGGCTCAAGCACTAGGGTTTTTTGCGGATTCCACTCCTTGCTTGTCCCTGCTTCATCAGCCACCGTGCAAAGCCGGCTCGCTTCAAAGCCGTCAGGGCACCTGCAAACCTTGTAACCCCTCCAGTACGGATGCGGCTGATCGCGATTTTCAGTGCCATCCGTAAACTCAGCGCCCCAGAAAGAGCATTTCTCCCTCGCTCGGGTGCCAGGGTCGGAGAGCCACTGATTGATCTTCCTGACCTTGGTGAATGTATCCGAGCATCACCCTTTTTTCACACAAACGCACTTTCTGAAGGGGTGCAGAATTCCTTGCCTTTTTGAGCTCACTGCTTTCCAAGGGGCCAAGAAGATTTTCCGCAGCTCTTTGCAAGGTGGAGCCCGCCAATTGTCGTATGTCCGATCTCCGCAGTCCAGGCTGTGTCGGATGGACCTGGCACAGGTTGGTGCAGCCTGCACTCTACCATGACGGCACGTGACAAAGATTCGCCATGTGCTGGGCCTCTGCCCGGCAACATCTTCGCAGAGCAGATCAGGGACCTTGGGATCTGGCGAAATCCCCCAACCATCAGGGACACCGCTTGCTTACAAAAATCTTCACGTCTTTGATCAAACTCTCCCCAAATCCGGTGGGGCAATCGAGCCCCGAGCCCGGAGCCAAAGCCTGCGCCTGAGTCCGGGACCCCATCAGCATCACAGTCGGTGGAGTCAGAGAACCTCGGCGGGGCTCTGCCATCTGCGGAGTTCACGCAGTTTTGTCACAATGACAGCGCAGGAATCGCTTTCTGAACGACGGCAGTAGAAATCCCCGCCAAGGCGTTAACAAATATTAAAAGTTTCTTCTGCCCAGCCGCCGAAGGGAAGGGCCTTCGCACCATCCGATAGGGCGAGGACAGGTCTGGCAAGTGACATGTTCAGGGTAGGCCAACTCTGTGATCAAAGTTCCACAAACATTTCAGCCTGTCAGCAAGGCAGCACTGTGCAAATCCATCGGAAGGTTCCGGACTGCTGGGGCTTGTCCAGTCTCTTTCGGAACCTACGTCTGACCCTACGATGAAACAGAGGATGAAGCCTAGCCCCAGGCACAATTCCAGGGATCCTGGACTCCTGAGTATATGAGTTGGATGGTGTCCTTGCGGCTCGCAAGAATCAACTCTGCACATGGCCAGGTAGGAAACAGGTAAAAGCAGTGGGGGCCAATAAAAAAAACAAGAAGCGCTGCCTGGCCTTGGCGACCTCCATGTCGTCCGGTGCGGTCAACGCATCGTCAATGTCAAGCTGCAGAACACTATCTCGAATAGCATCTGTACAAATGTGGACCAAACACCTTGGTGGCCAAACTTGCGCCCGCGGGGGGAGGGGGACGAAAGCTTTCAAGCAGGGTGCATACTAGCACGTGCATTTTTTCATGAAGCGGCGGAGCGAGAACGGCCTCCGCGTGCCCAAGAACGGNNCACCCGAAACGGCACCCCGAAACCGCATCGAGACAGACCCCTCGTCACCCCTGTTTTCGAGGCCCGAAAAGAGACCTCCCGAAAACCCTCCTGCCGTGGGGTCTAGCCTTCGAAACACGGCCAAATTTAACCACTTTTGGGCTTTCCTAACCCCCACACCCCCTTAGTACAGATCAGCAAAGCTGGACTTGGACGAAAGCTTGAGGAAGCTTTCGTAAACATGCTGGAAGAGGTGAGATCAAACCGTCAAACCATGAGCAAGGGGTATCAGGGTGCATCGTGGGAGGCATGTTTGGATATGCTCCGAGGCACAAGACTTGCCAGAAAACGGCCATGCTAATGGCTTCGTTAGCACGCTGAGCCTAGGGGAGCCAGTGGCCTTGAGCAAGAAACACCCTAAGCCCAGACGACCGTGCAGAGATGCTGCCGGATGAAAAGGCGTTGTCTGCGACAAAGGCTTAGGCATTCTATTTAGTGCTTTCTGAGAGCATGCACCTACACACCAACACCAGAGCTCAAAACACCTTTTCCAAAACAGCATGGCCCAGGATGCCGGTTCGGCCGCTGTGTCCCCTCAGGCGCTCTATGCACAGCCTTCCACATGCAGCGAAACAATGCAGCACGCTCACCTTCTCAGCGCATTGTTCAAGCTTGATCGCTCGCCGGTCCTCAACTGCCAAGTTAACAGCGAAGATTAGACATGTCCGTGACCTTCCTTGTTCTGTTGCTCAAGTTCTGAAGGCTGGAAGGTCGGTGTGCAGGTTTTTTGTTCGGAAGTACACATGTATCGGAAAGCCAGTTTCCATTGAAACACAAAGATGCCACTCGACGGCGTTTTCCTATCCCATATGTGGTGACAGCCGCTCAACCCCTTTGCCAATGTCGTCAGCTCCTTCCATACTTTGAACGCAACACACTTGTCAGGTGGTCCCGTCAGGTGGTCCTGTGTCATGCGAAGTGGCGAGATCACCTGACCATCAAAGCTCAAATGAAGGCGGGCCCCCTAGCTGTTGTGACGCTACTGCCCCACTGTCCATCGCACGTACACTATTGCGGGCCCCGATATCCATCCGGATGACAGTGCTCTAAACTTGCCAGGATGTCACGTTGCGTAGCTGACTTAGCCGCGCCTGGATGCACCCTCTGCAATGCAAACAACCGCAAAGCTATGCAAATGTCGGCATTGCCATACCTAGCGTGGCCGTGCTAGCAAGTTATTTTTGCGGGGTGCAGAATATATAGAACCCCTACAAAACCTTACAAAGCCCTTCTCAAGCCTCCACCACATCTGCTGGACCTGACGCTTTGCGCCAACAAATAATTAATTACCTAGAAGGGTCCTACAATGTATTTTATCAGGACACCGGAGGGCCTGGGATCGAGCGCGAGATCTGCTAACTTAGCAGAGAGGAGTCTCGCAAGCATGGACGCCTTTTCTCACAGCAGCCTGTTGAACATCCTTTCTGTGACGCTACACTGACTTGAAGGTTGCTGCAGGTCCAGCAATGTCCAAACCTGAATCTACTCAAATCCTGGCCTCACACGAAATTGATCCTGCAGGTTAGCAATGGCCTTTCATGCGTCCGCGAGCAGCTGTGTCAGCTCGGTGAGGTTTCCCTTACCCTTCCTGCTTTCGCATTTCCTATCAGGAGGGCGATTCCAGGGAACCACAGCAGGTGCTCGGGATTAGGAGGTAATCACTAACGGTCACTAACGTGTCCACATCGTGTTGCAAGCAAGTTTCAAGCAATTTGCCCATTTGCTCTTCTTGTTGCCGTGGTTACAGGAAGGGCTCGTATCATTTGTTGTGTAGCAAAACTCCCTGCTCTTCGAAGCAGCCTGCTTGCGTGGAAACAAAGCGCAACAAATTCACTTCAGGTGCTATACACACGAAGACACAAGAACCAGCAAACCCATATTCTAACCCCGAGAAATCAAGCCCCCGCACAGCCAACCCTAAAGCCCGCACATGAAACCCCGAGCATCTACAAGCACCCTCTACCCAATGATAACTCGCACACCACTTCAAGCAATACGGGTCCCGGGGGTGACGTACTGCGTTGCGTTCATGCCGTCTTCGTCTACCAGCTTGGCATCGGCTCCGAGGCCTAACAGAATCTTGACCTTGTCCACCCGGCACTGGCTGGCCTTGCATCAGATTTGAGTTCAGGGTGTGAAAGATCCCTATGTTGCGCTACTCGCTTGGCACACATAATTATCGCAACCGATGAGATACCTGATCCCGGCATAGAGCCCACGCGCTAGGAGAGAATGATTAGGCGCGCAGTGTTCAAAAAATGGCATGGGCCCACGGATTCGGGCCACAGACCCTTCAGAACACGGATTCGGGCCACAGACCCTTCAGCACTTGAAGACCCTTGATTACCCTTAAAGCATGCACCTCTAGCGCTGACACACTGCTTAGGGAACAACGCCGGCACGACTGTGGATATCAGACACATAGCTTAGGTCTTCACAGCCTTTGGATTCTTTTCTTGCCAAGAGTCTTGCTGCATGAGCAGAGTACTGCCTTCTTCATCCTGCGCAGGCAAACCCTGCAGTTCAGACACTCTTGCGAAGTGACCTTTTTCCAAACTATCGAAACTATTGGCACTTACACCCTTTGGGTTGTTGGTTTTCAGAACCAAAACAGCCAGACCCAAGGCCTGAAGATCTGTAAGTTGACATGTCCATAGAAAGCAGACTGCTACACATGGATAGTCCTCCTACACACCCTCTTAGCTGCTGTATTTTGTGTATAGGGACCTGTACTGTTGAGAAGCTCTAAAATCGTGAAGAACCAGCGACTACCTAGGCAAAAGATGTTTGAGCCAACAGTCTATCCTGCTTAACCATGGGTTGGAGCTTAAGGGGAATTATGCCCCTAGTATACTCCAATATACTCTCATATATTCCAAGATAACGGATTTGATTGATATGCTCCAATGTGCCCCGATATACCTTAAGATAACCCCCCCCCCCTCCCCTCCCCCTCAAAACAAAAACAAACAGGGGGACTGATTCTTTCTGGACCTCGCAAATGCCAAACCCCACGACATCCTTGAGGTTCACGTCGGCCCGCCTGCCTACCAGCAACTTCAGCACGTCTATGGACGAAGGCCTGGGCAAAGTGTGCAGATCTTGACAAGAGGCAACTTGCCGCGCGTGCAATGGTGCCGGTAGCTGCGCTCAGGACTCAGAAACGGAAGGAACAAAACAAGTCCTCATGCAAGCAGGGGAAGCAGTTCGCGTGGCGCAGTCTGGGAATCACTGTCAGAGGGTTGAGTGCAAATTACAATCACACCACAAATACCCCCACAATGCACGAATTCTAGGATGCCACATTGCGCGGTTGACGCCTTTGCAGTACCGGGGCCAGATGGGGAAGCGCGCAGGTCTTAGGCTCTGCACAAGCAGGTGCCCTATGCATCGGCTCACTCAAAAAAACTCCGGCACCGGACTGCAGCCTTTGATCATGGAAGGCTCGAATATCCAACAAGATGTGTGGTAAGCTCAACCCTGGCCTCTAGCCCTGCGACTGGGTCACGGCAAAGTCAAAGAAAGACATATACAGTAACCGTCTGATGGACTCGAACGCAGCAATGGGCAATTCAAGAGGTGTTGCAATACAGCAAACAATCCAATGGAAGCCGAGGAGGTGTGAAAGGGACACTAGCTTCTGTGTTTCGTCACCTCTGGATGCTACTCGTCAGGGGCAGTGACTACATCCAGAGGCGGCACTGCCCTACACAGAAGCAGTTCAAGAGCAGCAAAGTGATTCCAAATGCTATTGCATGTGCAGTTTTTGATCGATAAAAACCTGCACATACAATACCATCTGGAAGCACGAATCAGGGCAGGCAAAGTAAGAACTGAAGTGCGACCCTACCCTTCGCCCAAGGTCGTGAACCCTGCCCTCATATCAGTGCCACGGAGCTCCTCTCGGTCGAGGAATGCTTGAAGTGGCGTGTCGCCTGCGACGCCGCACACCATAGGCGTGGATGAAGACGTGTTTGAAGTACACAAGGGTTTTCCAAATCATGGCCTCTTCAGGCTCCTACTGATGATTCTGAGATTCTGTAGAGCTCCAAGTGAAACCCTGAACCTCTCAGAACCCTGCCAGAGTCCAGCAATCTGCACCACGGCTCCAACTAGTCTGGGCACATCTGGCCTTTTGCGCAAGGTGGGAAAGTTTGTTGTTCCTGCCCACTTTTTGCAGGCTAGTGCACGTCCATTGCCCAACGCTCCCAGAGGCAACAAGCCTGGCAGGTACTGACCCCGCTTCGGTTTGTCTCCACCCTTGATGCATGGTCTGGGGTGTCACGGACCGGCAGGTGGCTCCAGTTGGTCCCAATTGTGTTTTTGCGCTGTGACTACTTGCCAACGCGGGCTTTTTCGTGCTTACACTTTTTTTGTACCATGTCTTCAGCCAGAATTGCCCTGCCCAAATGGCAAAGATCTGGCGGGCAAGGATGGTCCGCAAGCATCAACTTCGGACGTGGAAGACAAGAGGCAACAGCCCGCAGCAACGCGAGCAAATGGAGCACGAATGACATCTCCAAAACCTTGCGCGCTGTCTTTAGGGCTACTACGTCTGAACTGGGCTGAAGACGAGGAGTGTGGGAGGTGGCACGTGAGGCTGCGTGGTCTGCGACGTCCTCGTGGCACTAGAGAAAGCAACGGGATCCGGTGCTATTGGCTTAGATGCTCTATAGTGTTTTCGCTGACAGACACACACGCTTGTTCTGAACCTCATCGAGCTCACGCCCGTACACGACACGACAAGCCAGCATCAAAGGCACGCCAATGAAATGGTGCAAAAATCTGTCAAAACCAGCTGTCTACAGCAATGTGAAATGCTACATGGATCCTGTTAACAGCGCAGGACAACATGGATGCCTGACGAACACCCGGAAGGCTCGTTGGGATCGGCGCCAAGGTCCAGGAGCCTTGCGCGACGCGCGACTGAAACAGGTCCCTGTCCCTGAGCTCTAAACGCTCAGTGCTTAAGTTTTGCCTCTTGACAAAATCTGCAGTACAGCGTACTTCTCCAGTATTGTGAAGGAGCTTCTCCAACGCACAGACCTGTTGTAGGGAGAGCTACCTTGTAACCAACCTCTTGCTTTTCAAAACCTGCGCTTGTCAGGCCTCTAGAAACCTACGACTCCAGCCCAATGAGGCCTTCCATTCCTGAACCACACACCTGCGACCCAGAAGGGTGCTGGATGGTTCTTTGTACCTCTCTGGTGCAGCTTCGGAGCTTCTTCACCACAGCAAGACTTGGCCGGCCAGCTGCCTGCTAAGACAACTAATTCTTGGCCGCCATACCCTTATATGCCCATTGTATCCCAATGTGCCCCATACCATCCCAATAGGATCCTGGGGTGGCCCCTGGACACTAATAGCACCAACATGCGCAGCCAGAGACAGGCACGCTTGGAGTTCTACCGCGGATCAGAGGGTACTTAGTTTAGGGTTTAGGGTGGGCATTTAGGGTATGTTGGGTATTATAGACTGAGTCAGGTTCTATGTAAAGTTACACGCCCTGTCCCCAGCCGACAAGCTGGACTTTCATTCCTGCTTCTTAATTATGTCTTATGTCCCCCAATCCTCCGAGGTGGGTTTGGGCTCAAGATCTATATAACTGGTTGCACGTTCGACATTGCTAGTGTCCAAGGGCCGAGGAGCCAATCCTGGCTGAACTCATGTGGACGTGTTTGGTGTCTGGTGAGAAATTGGACCAAGTGCTTGTAGGATACTGTACTCCTTCCTGCGGGAAAAAAAACGCCAGGTCAGGCTTGTAGTCATTGTAGTCAACTTTGTCCAAGACTGCGCGGGGCCCGCATTTGCTAGGAGGCTTCCTGGGTACTGCTGCATCCAGTTCGAAGCACATCATGTACGTCGTGGTTCTACTGATCTCTCTATCCTGAGGTTCTGAGGTCTTTAACATCCTTCAGCCACACCTCGACGAGAGCCGTCAAATTCCCACACTCTCCCACTTCCTGTCAGCACAGCTGCAGGTTCAAAGGCAGAAAAAATCTTGTTTAGGGCTTCTGTGGGTTAGATGCTACGGTGTAGTGGTCCACAGTCTGAGAGACTATTTGAGGGCTCAGGAAAATAACGTTGTACGTTTGTCTCTTGGTCTTGTAGTCACCAAAGAACTGTCGATGAAACCCGCTGACTTAAACAGACTTGTCTGAGAATGGGTTTTGGGCATGCGTCTTCGCTTCGTTGTTCCTCTGCGTATACTGGGCTCTTGACTGCTAGAACCACTTCCACCCTTTTGCACGTCCTAAGAAGCCGTCTGCCCCGAAAAGCTGATATTCGTCCTGACATCATAACCCTACACAAGTTTCTACATATTTTGGATTCGGCCTCCACCCGCTAACGGTCACCAAGAAGGACAATGGCAACTGCCCCGGGGACACTTCATATTCCTATTACACCACCATTGCTTGGCTGAGGCTTGGCCCCAAATACATCTCCACATGGCCCGCAAGCCCCCCTGAACGCATCCTTAAATGCAGCACAAGGGTCAACAGAAAGCTTTGCGCCATGGTCCACCAAGGTCTGGATGGTATCCTTAGCCGACAGCAAGAGAAACAGTAGGGTTTAGGGTTTACGGTTTATAGCACTCTGGCGGAATGTCATGTGCTGTAAGCGTCTGTGAGTGTGTGCTGGGAATGCAGTACCGTGGATGGAACAAAGAGTCCGTCCGAAGCAGACGGCAGGATAAAATACGCTACGCAAACTTCTTCAAAGCCAAGGCGAAAGGCAAGCAGGCAGGATTCTGACAAAGCGCCGTCGAATAGGGTCCCCACGTGCAACATCCACATCAAAAGACGCAAGGCCATGAACAGATTGACATGAAAGTGTCGCGACAAAACATGGCTACCAGATCCAAAATTCCATTATGCCCTAACAACCCCAACATATCCTCATATACCCAAAATGCACAACAATATCACACTGATTGCTGTTAATTAACCACCAGCAAGCTTCAAAAGACTCAAGATCTGGTCGAGCAGCAGTGACATGTGTGTCATCTTGGCAGTTCTCGCTGCTCGCCAAGACCAAGAGCGGCGTGATTTCGTGACTGAGTGGAGGGGCCCGGTGGCAGGCGTTGATAGTTTTGGATCTATGGAAGTTTCTCAAAAGGGGGGGGCCTTAGGCACCCAAAGGGTTTAGAGTGATTACAAGGGGATTAGAAGGGCCTCCTGAGAGGATTATATGGGTGTCATTGTGTCATCTTGAGAAATACGAGTATCCTGAATGCATATGCTAGGACCTGAGCGTTTCGAACCGTGCAAGCCCCCAGTTCCAATTCTCGTGCTCAGGTGTGATGCGTCAAGCCGACAAGCACAGGCAAGACTTCTGAGAAGTAACCCCTGTAACCTTAAGTCCTACCAAAAAATCAGCCGACATTTTTTACACCCAACACTGTATACCCACTGCCAAGATGACACACATGTCACTGCTGCTTGACCAGATCTTGAGTCTTTGAGACTTACTGGTGATTAGTAGGGAATGGGAGAATTGATCCTTGTATCAGTCATCGGGCCAACTTGGAGATGTCGGACAAGGCTGCGCGTGGCGTTTCCGATTGGGCGGGGTAGATTGGGTATACTGGGTTATATTTGGGTATATTGCTGATGTATGTTGATGTGTCTTGGTGCATGTATTTCTTTACGGGTTTATGGCTACTACTTGGGGCATTTATGCAGAACACTTCTCTTCTTGCACACAGAACCATGACAAAAACAGCTGCGGGGCTTCTAATTTTCCGGGAAACCCTTCAAGGACTTCCCGAGATGGGCCATGGAAGTGGCGGAGCCTGATTGGATTCTACTCTGGGCCAGCTTGAAGACTGTTTTTGGGATCTTTCCTTTGCGCTGCAAGTTGCTTGCCGCCCGGCACCCAGAAGCTGATGGACTTCCACTAGTGCCCTGCACAAAACTTTGTAAACTCCCGACATCCCACACCACACACCCTCTGAAACCTTCCAGCCCACAATGAGGTAAGCTTTGACCCCTCAACGGTGGGTCAGGCACGGGCCATTCGGTTCCGGCATCAGCTGGTTCACGTCGCCCAAACTCGCCAAGAGTTTCACTACGTCACGTTGACATGTCTCCGCCGCTCGGCAGAGAGGGGTTTTCCGCGAGCTGTCCCGAGCAAGGACTGTGGCATTCTTCTTCAGCAGCAACTTCACACCTGCAAAATGGTCTAGGAGCCTAGGTCCTGTAGCTATATGCTCCTCCATCATCCCTCGATTTCTGGCCTAATGAAAACTAAATCCTGCAAAAACGCTTGTGCAGACCGCGGGGGGGGGCAAGAATGGATTCTTTAAACATCTAATATGCACACCCGAAATCTGAACCCAAGAATCACAAACCCACGGCCACACGTTCCCGAACCCTCGAACTCCGAGTTCTCGAAGTCACGTCCCAAGCGTTTGCTAAATTATTCCCCTTGGCACATTTACTTTTCTATATATAGAAAGATTTAGCAAAAACCGAAGGACGGTAAAGCTACTCTATTTGCCGAGTTGGTTTCTCCTTAGGGCATTTGGAACCTAGAACCATGCTCCTTTCTCTCCCCTCCCCACTGTGGCCAGCAAGCTACCCCTGCTGTCCCCTGCCCATCCCACTTTCTTTGCAGATCGTCGACTGAAGGCGGGCGCGCGGAGCGTTTACAGTTCTTCCCTCCTATCCCCTTACATCCCCCCAAAACCCTGTAACATTCTTTGCAAGCATGCAGACGTCAGATCGTGGTTACTGCTGATAAGTACCAGAACGCTGTACTGCCTGTATTAATGTTTAGCAAAATGGCCCTTTATTTCGGTAACTGAAGCGTGTCTTTGCCAAACCAACAAGCACTGACAACTGCAACCCTCAATGCCCTCTGTCCACACTCTACCTGCACCAAACAGTGGGGTCGTATTGTCTTGGCCGGGCGAAAGTAGCATGGCGGCCTGAATAATTTGAAAAAAATATCTTCGAAAATCACGTAGTCCTTCGAAAATTACGTATTGTAATCACGTAAGCACCAACCAAACCGTATTCTATTTATAGCTGGGCCTTGATACATCTAATTTTCATTGCAGATCCCTGTCACCCTTATAAACGGACTCCCCATACATCTAAACCCTAATCCCTCAAGCCCTCAATCCAAAAATCAAAGCCACCTTCCAGCTGGCCCTCAACCGCCGCCACACCCAGGGGCGTCTCATCGCAGCCCGAGCAGTCTGCTGACACCTCTCGTCAGGAGGCTTTTACGGGTCGGGGCTTCGGGTTTGAATGTTTTAAAGGTTTGAGGGCTTAGGGGCTCAAAGGTTTAGGGCAGAGCAATCCGCGCAAGTGCAATCACTTTTTTCTTGGCCATAAGCTCAAGTCCGGACTATACGGGGTAATTTGGGCCGATATATAACGGCACGGGAAAACAAGATTGCATTTTTCCTCATGATATGCAGTACAACGTCCTACCTGCCTACTAACTATGCGATACAAAGGCAAAACGTTCAGCTTGGCTATACAAACAAAGCACAAATGGGCCAGTTTCTCACCCGTCTTACTTACAAGTGAACGTTTTGGGAAAGCAAAACTGCCCGGGCGTCTTGGACGCTGGATCAGGGTCCCTTACCTGAATTGACGAGCCTGTTTTCGCTGTTGACACTTACGCTCCTTTGGCTCTGGATCTTCCGTTGGAGTCGGTGCAATGGTTGTAGGAGCGGTATCTCATGCCGTACACCATTTAAGAGGATGGGTCTCTTTGACGACCCCTTCTATGAGCGGAGTCGGCGCGTTGGCTTGGCCTTTCTTTGTGAAGGTAATAACTTCCGTGCTCGGAGCTTTGGCTCCCTCCGCGATGGGGGTAGGAGGGGCCCAAGGGTTGGCCCATCGTACTTATTGACAAATTCAGCCATGTTCGCCTCGGAGTTGTACTTCTGCGTCTTCGCCAGTCAATCCACTCTGGGTAGAAACTGGCAACCCTGATGGGCGTATTGAGCTTGATGGCGGTGGGTAGCCAAGCTTTTGGGGCCGATGCCCTGAGGGCGGTTCCAGCTGTCACCGAAGGTACTGTAACCGCGGTGATCGCGTGACCTTCGTCCCCGGATCCCAGCTATCATGGGCATCTCTGCGATCTTCTCAGTTTCTCTGGTCCCGGCCACGGTTTTCTTTGCCATGGCTCTTGTAGAAGTGGCCGTCGTCATAGCTGTACTTGAGTCCATATCCGTAGTATCTGGGACGATGGCGCCAGGGTCGGGATATTGCGGGGAACTATAACCCTCCATCCTACACACCCATATATCCGGGCAAACCTATGAAGTAGGGGCAGTGGGCTGTCCCCGTCATCTCGGCGATCTCGCTTCGCATAGCATCTATCTTGGCGATCGCCACGGGTTCTCATCTCGACGAGGGTGACGGTCATCCTAAGTGTGGAAATCGTCCCTCCATGGACACGACACCTGTTGTTCCAACCCGCTAGCTCGGTTTCCAACACTCGCACCGGGGCGTGCGCGTTGCGCAGTTGCTGTTGGAGCTCTTCTTGCGGTGACGTCGAAGTTGGTGTCAACGAAGTAGCGCCCGCGTCCGATGACGCTCGATGGCGCTGTGGTTTTAGGCCGAATCGCCCTTGCCGTGGCCATGGGTGTTGCTGTTGCTGGTGGGTTGGCACTGCTGCTGTTGCGGTGTAAGCTCCCGGGAAATCCTGGGCGGCACAGATGTAAAATACATCCTCGTCCTCTTACGTCATCGCAGGGTTAGTGCTTGTGGCTGCCATGTGTGCTGCTTTTGACTGTCGTGAAGGTGCGGCTTTAAGACAAATTTGGTCTTCACATTGTTGGCGTCGGTCCTGTCCATACGTGGCTCCTAGCTCTTGATCGCTAAGAAGTCCCTTACGCATACCAGCACGGTGCCACCAGACTTATACATAGAGCCGGTTGATTATATAGAGCCGGTTGCCACATAGAGCCGGTCAACACCCATTATTTCTGAAGTTGCACAGACCAAGAATTGACAGAACCGGTCAAGAAAATCCACGTAAGGGCATGTTGGGCAGCATGAAATGTCATATAATGGGTTATATGACACGTCTCCTGCCCTTAACATGTCTTTCTTTGAGAAGTTCTGTCCATTCTTGATCCGCGCAACTTCAGAAAGAAAAGTGTTTGACGCATGGATCCTTCATTTGCGCGTGCTCATTATCAACACGTGGCGTGCGCTCTAGGCCGGCATGTGCACTGCATGCATGCACGTGCATCAGATCAACCATCGTCTGCGATAAATTCGATCGAAGGCCGGTGATCATGAGGATGCAGATCGCCGCCTTCGAAGGAAAACGGCCCCGCAGCATGTCGATCTCCTCGATCTGCGTATAATATGCAGGATATATTGAATCAGAACCCACTATATATACTGATCTTATATATATATATGTCAAAAACGCACATGCACGATAGCAATCCTGCTATAACATGCGCACGCTCTGAATCATGCGCACGCGCGCGCGCACATCGCGCCCGCGCGCGCGTCTTCTGGACCACGCGCGCATTGACTGCGCCCGCGTGCATGCGCGCGCATGCCCGCGCACGCCCGCGCACAGTCCGTGCGCGCGCGCGCGCGACTCCCGCGCGCGCTTGCGCGAATCGCGCGCGCGCGCATGCGCTCGGACATGTGCGCGCGTATAATATAAATATATATTATAACTATATATAAAAAATATATATATATATATACCCCCGCGCGCGTCGTCGCGCGCGCGCGCGTCATAACACGCGCTTATATTATTTTTATTTTAAATTTTATATAAGTATTAGTATATTACTATATATATTTTAGTATAATAATAATATTATCATTATTAATATATTAATTTTATTACTTGTAATATTATTCCTATATAGTAATAT